ACGACGACCCTCACGAGGATTCTGGCCCCGACGGGGGGAGGGAGTTTGGCCCCTCTGCTCGTCTTTGAAGCAGAAATCATTGATTTTACCACGGTGTTGGCCCCATTTTGGCCTCCTGAGGGGGCCGCGCTCATCTTCCTTCATAGCAAAATCATTGGTTTTACGAAGGTGTTGGGCTCATTTTGTCCTTCTCAGGGGGCAGCGCTCCTTTGCGCTTCTGAGGAGGTCGCAAGAGGCCCCAAGATGGCCCCCAGAGGCCCCCCGGAGCCCCCCAAGAGGCCTCCAAGAGGCTCCCCAGAGGCCTTCAAGCGGTCCCAAGAGGGTCCAAAGAAGCCCCCAAGAGGCCCCCAAGAGGCCCCAAGAGGCCCCAAGAGGCCCCCAAGAGGCCCCCAAGAGGCCCCCAAGAGGCCCCCAAGAGGCCCCAAGAGGCTCCAAGAGGCCCCCAAGAGGCCCCACGAGGAGCCCGAACGACTCACACCAGGACGAGGGGCCCGAACGACTCACACCACGAAGAGCCCGAACGACTCACACCACAAGGAGGGGCCCGAACGACTCACACCAGGACGAGGCGCCCGAACGACTCACACCACGAGGAGCCCGAACGACTCACACCACGACGCGGGCCCCGAACGACTCACACCACGAGGAGCCCGAACGAGTCACACCAGGAGGAGGGGCCCGAACGACTCACACCAGGATGAGGGGCCCGAACAACTCACACCACGAGAAGCCCGAACGACTCACACCAGGACGAAGAGCCCGAACGACTCACACCACGAAGAGCCCGAACGACTCACACCAGGAAGAAGGGCCCGAACGACTCACACCAGGACGAGAAACCCCAAACGACTCAAATCACGAGGAGCGCTTTCTCTCCCTCCTCCTCCGCCTCGTCCTTCTCCCGCTCCCCCCACAAGGAGGATGTACAAGGAGGCGGGAGGAAGGAGGAACAGGGGAGATATGCGGGGCCAAGCGGACACACGCCTGAAAAACACGACTGTCGGCATGCTTCGCAAGAGTTGCTGCTGTGAGATGGGCTGGTGGGGATACGCGAAGCGTAAAGAATTCATATTGGGGAAGGAGCATGTTGAGTATTGGGTGTGGCGTTGGAGAGAAACGCTGGTGAGTACTGGGTCTGGCGGTGGAGACAGAGGGCGTTGAGCAAAATTGCATTATCAAGTTCATCTTGGGGTGGGAACCTGTTGAATGTTGGGTGTAAGGTTGGAGACGAATGCTGGTGACGTTTGGGGTCTGATGTTGGAGACGGAGGAACCTGATCATAATGAGAATTTCAAGTTCATATTGAGGAGGGTGCCTATTGAGTGTTGGGTGCGGCGTTGGAGACACAGGCTGGTGATTGTTGAGCTTGGTGTTGGAGACGGGAAAAGTTGGGCTTAAGGGTAGATTCAAATTCATAAGTTGGATATTAAGTGTGGCGTTGGGGACGAAGGCGAGCGAGTACTGGGTGTAGTGTTGGAGGCGGAGAGACTTGAGTAGAAGTATATGTTCAATCTCAGACTTGGGAGAGAGCCTGTTGAGTATTGGGTGTTGTGCTGGAGACGGAGGCTGTTGAGTACTGGGCGCGGTGTTGGAGACGGAGGGAATTTAGTAAAATTGTATAGTCATGTTGATATTGGGGAAGGAGCTCGTTGAGTATTGGATGTGGCGTTGGAGAAGAATGCTGGTGAATACTGGGCGTGGTGTTGGAAAAGGAGAGCGTTGAGTAACATATGACTTTCAAGTTCATATTGGGGAGGGCGCTCGTTGAGTATTGGATGTGGTGTTGGAGATGAAGGCGGGTGTGGCGTTGGAACCAGAAGGAGTTGAGTAGAAGGGCATTCTCGAAGTCATCTTGGGAAGGGACTTCGTTGAATATTGCGTAGGGTATTGGAGAATACTTGTGGGGAATGTGAGTACTGGGCGTGACGTTGGAAACCGAAGACATTGAGTAGAAGGATATGTTCAAGTTCATTTTGGGGCGGGAGCCTGTTGAGTATTGGGTGTGGCCTTGGAGACGGAGACTGTTAAGTACTGGGTGCGGTGTTGGAAACGGAGGAGATTGAGTAACATTGCATTTTCAAGTTCATCTTGGCGAAGGCGCTCGTTGAGTATTGGATATGGTGTTCGACGAAGGGGTTGAATAGAAGGGCGTTCTCGAAGACATCTTGGGAAGGGAGCTCGTTGAATATTGGGTGTGGCGTTGGAGAAGAACGCTGCTGAGTACGGGGTGTTGTGCTGGGAACGGAAGGAACCGAGTATAATGATCGTTCCAAGTTCATTTTGGGGAGGGAGCCGGTTGAGTATTGGGTGTGGCGTTGGAGAAAAAACTGTTGAGTACTGGTTGTTGTGTTGGGGACGGGGGGGAATTTAGTATAATGATAGTTACAAACTCACTTTGGGGAAGGAGCCGGTTGAATATTGGGTGTGTCAATGGGAATGGAGGCCGTTGAATACTGGATGCAGTGTTGTGGCCGGGGGGTGGGTGTAGACCTGAAGGAAACGTTCAAGCTCACATTGGGGGAGTGAGCCTGATTCTGCGGTTGGTGGATGCGGCTGCAATTACAACGGGCGAACACGGCACTATAGAAATCCATATATTATATATAGATATGACGCACACAAAAAAGGGGCCATGGTGAGTGCTGAGGGCTACATAACATGCGTACTAGCATCGGACAAGTACTATATACATCAGTTTATGGTTATACATGTATACACATGGTGCACACAAAAGGAGCCATGGTGCGTGCTGGGATGGGAGCTATCTACACTGTACACTAGAACCAAGCTGTATAACGCAAACAAAAAGCACGCGCGCATCGCGCGTGCTCAGCGTCTAGCAAGCTCCAGCCCTTGACAAGCAAGAACGTCTTCGGAGGAAAAAGCGTCTTCGGAGGAAATAACGATTTCGGGGGTCTTCGTAGAGAATAGCATCTGCGGGGGGGGGATAGCGTCTTCACCGGGAGTAGCTTCTTCACCAAGAAAAACGTTTTCACCCGGAATAGCGTCCTTGCCCGGTAAAGCGTCTTCACCCAGAATAGCGTCTTCGAAAGGGATAGCATCTTCGCGGGGAATAGCATCTTCGGGGGGGCATAGCGTCTTCACCAGGAATAGCGTGTTCACCAGGCATAGCGTCTTCACCGGAATAGCGTCATCGCAGGGGATAGCGTCTTCGCGGGGAATAGCATCTTCGGGGGGGATAGCGTCTTCACGGGGAATATCGTCTTCACCAGGCCGAGCGTCCTCACCGGGAATAGCGTCTTCGCAAGGGATCGCGCTTTCGCGGGGAATAACATCTTCGGGGGGGGGGCGTCTTCACGGGGAATAGCGTCTTCAAGCGCCTTTGCGTCTTCGGGCGCATTTGCGTCTTCAACAAGGATAGCGTCTTTAAGTGAATTTGGGTCTGCAACGCCTGGTTGGGCAATTTCGTCTTCTATTGGGATCGCATGTTCGCCCGTCCTTTCGCTCGCGGCCAATTGCGTCGTCGAGTAGCGTCGTCGTCTTCGGCCAAACAGGGGCACCCCGGTTGCCCTACCAATGTGTATACATATATATATATAGATTGCACCACAGAGCCTGCACCACAAAACTTGCACCACATGGCTTGCGACGCACAGCTTACACCGCGTAGGTTGCAACAGATGGCTTGCACCAACATAGCTTGCACGACATGGCGTACACGTCGAGAATGCAAGAACTCACCGCTTGGGTTCAACGCTGGCAAATATTGAAGGGACGGTCTAGCGAAATCCCCGCTTCAAAGGGGGACCACCCTCCACCCGTATAGCTGTGGCACAAGCATGAACTTATGGCCCTGCAAATGAAGAAGTCTCGAGCGGGAACACTATGTTGAAAAAGAGCGGGCCTTGTTCCAAATCACTGCTGCACAAAAATCACGGCATAGTGATACCCAAGCGACAGCCGCACCTGGACAAAGGGCTGGCCTCCATCCGTGAGCATGTTGGGCAGTAAGACAAATGCCCACGACGCTAAAGCGATAACAACGTCTAAACTCATCCGCCCTCCATCCTTGCCACTGCTGGAAACTAAGAAACAACGAATGCGCGGGGCGACACAACAAAAACACCTTATTGAAAAACATCCGCCATGCATCCGTGTGGCCGTTGGAACAGTTGAGCCGAACACACGCGCTGCTAGGGCGAGAACAACATCTTCAAAACCTCCTGTCCTTCATCCGCATACTGTTGGAAGCCTATAGCGCGATTGTGTGCGGCGCGAAGTAGCGAACCATGTGTTGAAAAACAGCCGCCACCTGTGAAGACGAATGTGCGCGGCGCTACGGCAAGAGCCTCGTAGTGAAAAAAACACATGTCACCCACCCGCGTAGTTCATGGAAGCTGTAGAGGCGAATGCGCGCGGCCCTCAGGCAAGAACCGCACATTGGAGACCGCCCAGCCTTCATCCGAGAAGTTGCTGCTGCGACTCAAAAGTCGCAGGGGAAATCGGCCAGGCCACCCTGGAGGCACTTTGAGCGGTGTCACGAGGAGGGCTACCTACAAGAAAGCGGGGAGGAGGAAGAGGAGGAGGGTGATGAGCAGCAGCAGTAGCAGCAGCAGCAGAGCAGAGCAGAGCAGAGCAGCACCAATGGCCCGATGAAGTGCGACTACTTGAAAGAAGGCTTAAGTCGGGCGTGTCCCTCTACAGGAGGACTATCAAAAATAGTCTGGAGGCGATGTATTACGCTCATTTTGAATATGCCTTGCATATCTTATTAAAAGGTTCCAAAATCCGCATGTAGGAGGACACGCCTGGTCTAAAAGAAGGCCAGAGGCACCCAAAACGGGAAAAAGACAGACATGGAGTCCGTGTAGTCCGTCGGCTGAATGGGGCACCGGCTTCACTTGGAGCCCTGCTGGAGGATGCCTCAGGCCAATAGCGAGGCCCCCCCGAAGGAAACACCGAGGGGGCTCGTCGGAGGAGGTGGAGGGGGGGCGGGGTCTTGCAGCCGGTGGAGCGGTGCTTGACAACTCCCTGGCCGCCGCGCCGCGCCGAAGGTCCACGCGCGGCCCGCTGCTGGCAGGCGCGACCTGCGGCGACTCTGTCGGCCAGCGGCGGCTCCCAGAGTGCGATGCGGCGCAAAAGCACGGGTGAGATGTATGAGTTCTCGGGCGTCTCGTTACACTTGCAAGCCCATGCGTACACAGTGTGTTCAGGCGTCCCAGGTGGCATGCATAAAGGCTCGGGCGTTCCTGCGCACTTGCAACAAGTGTGCGCTATACTGTTGACGCGCATGCGGTGGGACAGCCCATAGCTCAAGTGCAGAGGGGAGGCGCTGCGCAGAGAGCTAGTGGTTCAAGGTGTCGAGGACAAGAACGAGCAGTAGCAGCCAGGAGAAGGAGGGTGGAAGAGGGAAGCGAGGGGGAGTAAGCATCGTTTACGGTCAGGAGCTATTGCGTAGCATGTCGCGGCGGCGTCCCCGACGACACGCTATGCCTTGCGAGTGGATAGCGTGTCGCTCCGCTCCGCGGGGCAGGAGTTTGGGAAAAGCTCGGGACGCAGACGCCTGGAGACCGGGAATTGTATAGCGTGGTGGGCCAGAACCGGCGGAGCGACACGCTATCCAAAGTTCCCGACCGTAACCGATCCCCATGCCCACTGACACGGCCGTGGTCCACCTGGCCGACTTACCCCCCCCAGGTGGGGACATCTGCCGTTCCCTTCGGACTTCGCGGGATCAATAGGCACCTCGGGAGTGGGGATGGGAGTTGGTTGCTAGACATCCCAGATCCAAGAGGTCGCAACCCCTTTCTGGGGGCTCGTTTCCCGCCCCGGATCCATTATTTTAGGCTCCGGGGCCCGACAATTGGCCCCAGGGCCGAAATCGAGGAAGAACGCCCAGACTGAAAAAGATCAGGTCGTCGGAGATCTGGGCTGGACGATGCTGAAACATGGGGGGGCAGCAGATGTTTAGCCTATGGCCCTCATGACCCCAATGCAGTGATGATGCAAATCGCGAGCTTCCTCACTGAGGGAAATGGAACTCCACACGCGAAGCGTAAACCATGAAGGCGAAGGAAGAGAAGGAGCAGGACAGAAGACGCGCCAAGCAGCCAGGAGCAACGCACTGGCCAAATTACCAAAGTCGAGCCTGAGCATAAATACGTGTCCCAAGAGTGTGATCCACGACGTTGTGTTATATACCCCAAGATGGCAGTGCAGCAGAAGCAGCACCGATGCCGCAGCGGCAGTGGCGGCCGCAGCAGCAGCAGCAGCAGCAGCAGCAGCAGCAGCAGCAGCAAGCAGCAGGCGGTGTTTCGGGGCAGCAGCACGCTCGGGACCGGCGCCGGCAGGTCCTCTGCCACTTCCGTGAGCAGCGGCGTGGCCTGGTCGCGGAGCTGGGTGAGGGCCTCGCGGAGCTGCGGGGGCTCTCGCGCGCCGTCCTCCTCCTCCTCCTCCACCTCCTCCTCCTCCTCCTCTCCTCCTCCTCCTCCTCCTCCTCCTCCTCCTCCTCCTCCTCCTCCTCCTCCTCCTCCTCCTTCTTCACCGCCTTTGGGACACCGCGGTCCCGCCGCGGCCCCCCCCCCCGCTGGGGCCACACCGGCTGGGGGAATTAAATTATCGCCGGGGCGGCTGGTGGGGTCTCCCCAGCCGCTCGGCGTCACCCTCCGTGGCCGGGAGCCAGCGTGCGGGCGCCCAACTATACTCGTCAGGGCCTGGCACGCTGGGCCCCCGGAGGGTTCTGAGGTGATCCGGCGGCCCTCTCCGGAGACGCCGCCAGCATCGCCCTTGGCCCTGTGGCCCCGCCTTTCGGCACGAGCCCATGGCCCAGCATTGGCAATGCCCCAGCCAAATGTCTTTTGCCCGCCCCCCCCCCCGCGCGGGAGACCTGGAGGCCCCAGGTCCCCCGCGCGCCAGCCTCCCGGAGGGCACCGGGGGGCGCAAGGAAAACGGCCCCCCCGCGCCGGGCCACCCGGGGCCCTCCGTGCCGCCCCCGACGGTCGCCGCGATCCGCCCCTTCCCGGGAGGAGCCCACGCCCCCAGACGTCCAGGACCGCCCCCTTGCCCCCAGAGCGTCTCCTTCTGGCTGGATGCATTGCCGCTGCCTCCGTTTTAGGGGGGGGAAGGGTGGCCTTGGGTCCTTGTCCCGCCAACAGCCCAGCATCAGCAGCACCCGCAGGAGGAGGGGGGGGGGAGAAGGAGGGGGAGGGGGGGGGGGAGGGCGGGATTCGTTCGCTGGGGCGAGCTGGCGGGGGCTAGGACCCTCGGGGCTCCCTCCCCCCCCTGCCGAGCGTCTCCGGCGGCTCAACCCGCGCCTCAGGCCTCGCAGCGCCGGCACCGCTGCTCGAGGCTGCGGATGGCGAGTGTCGCCTCCACGGCCTTCTCGGGCGGGCCACCCCCGAGGAGCCAGCGCGCCCGCTGGTCTGGCTGCGGCGGAGCTGCGGCGGCCCAGGCTGCCAGGAGGTCGGCGGCTTCCTCGCACTGGGTGAGGAGGTGCGTCGCGGTCTCCAGGGACGCCCGGCAGAGTCGGCACGGCTGGAGGCCGCCCGTCCGGTCCGCCTGGAACGCCCCCTGGAGCGCGAGGCGCGCCCAGGCACGCACTGCGTCCGGCGGGCAGGCGGCGGCTCAGGGCAGGGACGCCCCATTGCCGGCCGGCGGTGCGCTGAAGCCCCTGCACCTGGCTGCTGTGGCTCCACCAGCGTAGCTCGTCTGCGTCATTCAGCGCCTTCTCGATGCGCCCGCGGTAATCGCCGTATAGGCGCCGCTGGGCCGCCGCGCTGCCAGCTGGCTCATCCTCCTCCTCCTCCGCCTCCTGCTCATCCGCCTCCTCCTCCTCCTCCTCCTCCGCCTCCTCCTCCTCCTCCTCCTCCTCCTCCTCCTCCTCCTCCTCCTCCTCCTGCTCATCCGCCTCCTCCTGCCCCGAGGGGGCCCCTCCCGTAGGGGGAGGGGTCGGGACCCCAGGGTCCTCCTGGCGCTACTGTGAGGGATGACCGCCAACAGCGCGGTCGCATTGCCCTCTGGGGGTCGCTGGGTGCGCCGTCCCTGCACGTTCAGGGGTCCCCCTCCCCCTGGCTCGCCGTGCGTTGGGTCATGCCTGGCGGCTCGTCCTCCCATGTCGTCCGCCGTGTCGTGTCGTGTCGTCCGTCGTGTCGTGTCCTCCGCTGTCGCCGCCTCTTCTCTGTCGTGTCGTGTCGTGTCGTTTCGTGGCCCTGGCCCTGAGGTTTATAAAAGCATCCCCTCGGCGGCGCAGTCTCCTGTGGGCCCCCCTCAGCCACCCCAGGGGCCTCCCCCTCTGGGAATCGCTGCTGGGGGGCTCCCCCCGCCTCCCAGGTTCCTTGGTTTCGCACGGGGCAGAGGCCCACGCGTGGCGCACCGCCGCGCGGCGCCGTGACCGCTCGCCGCACCGTCGGGCGGAGGCGGCCTGGCGAGGCCGGCCGCCGCGGCGGCAGGGCGTAGCGCTCGGACTGCACCCTATGGCCCATTCCTATTCCCATGCCCATTCCCACTCCCATCCGCCTCCTCCTCCTCCTCCTCCTCCTCCTCCTCCTCGTCTTCCTCCTCCTCCTCCTCCTCCTCCTCCTCCTCCTCCTCCTCCTCCTCCTCCTCCTCCTCCTCCTCCTCCGCCGTGCCCGTGCAAAACCCCCCGCGCACGGCCGCTCGCGCAGGTGGTGATCGTGCTGGTAAGGATGGTGCTGGTGAAGATGAGGATGAAAATGGTGACGCCGACGCCGCCGCCGCCGCCGACGCCGACGCCGCCGCCGACGACGACGCCGACGACGCCGCCGCCGCCGCCGCCGCCGCCGCCGACGACGACGACGACGACTAGCTAGACTAACTCGCTGTCTTGCCTCTCGAGCTAGACTAACTCGTCCGGTTTCACAGTTCGGTGTCTGCTGACTCTGTGCTAACACGTATCAGCATTCCAGCTCGTCCATCTACTCGCACTATTCAAACTCATCTATATCTTCTGACTCTCCTTACTCTTATAGCGATTCTAAATCATCTGATTACTCGAGCGATCCTAGCAGTTCTAACCCTGTCAACCCGTCTAACCTGGTTGGGCATTCCATCTCTGATAGCTCGTATACGTGCAACTCGTCTGAAGTAACACGTCAAACACTTCGGTCATGCGAGATCTTCGTAAAACTAAGCCACAACATATTACCCCACGGGGCAGACACGGCATACACCTGGGACAACCGCGCTGGGCAACCACCAAAAGAAATACAGGACAACCACAAGACACCCCTGAAACAACCACACTGGACATCCACGGGACAACCACCTGGGACAACCGCATTGGACAACCGCGCGGAAGAAAAGCATGGGACAACCGCGGGACAGCCGCGGCCATCGGACTCTTCTACGCAGTTTACCTGTTCCTACTGTTCTAACCTGCAAGCCATCCAACGCTTCTAACGTTTACATAAAGTTCAATCCCTCCTCATCCCCCTCTCTCACAAGAGCGCATAGCAAGCTGGTAAGAACCTGAACAACCTAAAGCACGTGATCGAAATATGAGACCGAACGGATCCAGACTCAAATGTGTCCCAAACTTTCTGCGTTGGGTTCTCGTTCTGACTAGGGCACTGTGGTCTCCACCTCTCTTCTCCCGCCTTCTCCATCCTCCTGCCTTCTCCGGGTGGCTGCGCACTGCGCAACTGTTGCCACTTTCGTGGGCTACTGGGAGGTCCAGCGGAGTCGGGGGCACACGCGGACCCAGGCGGGACCTCGCTGCTCCCTGGGAGGCTGCGAACTGCGCAACTGTCACCACTTTCGCGGGCTCCTGGGAGGTCCAGCGGAGTCGGAGGCCACGTGGACCAGACGGGACCTCGCTGCTCCCTGGGGGGCCGCGAACTGCGCAACCGTCACCATTTTCGTGGGCTCCCAGGGGTCCTGCGTATTCGGGGGCCACGCGGACCCAGACGGGACCTCGCGGCACACGGGGGGGCTGCGAACTGCGCAACAATCGCCGCTTTCGCGACCTCATGGGAGGTCCAGCGGAGTCGGGGGGGGGGCACGCAGACCTAGTCGGGACCTCCCTGATCCCTGGGGGACTGCGATTTGCACAACTGCCACCACTTTCGCTGGTCACGGGGACCCAGCCGAGACATCGCGGCCCCCTGGTCGGCTACGAAGTGTGCAATTGTCGCCACTTTCGTGGACTCCAGGGAGGCACTGCGGAGATGAGGGCAGCGCAGATCGTGCAGATCTGGTGATGTGTTCTTTTGTACGGAGCATTCATAAAAAGAGTCGCCTCGCGTGGAGGAGGGATTGGGCACGTCTCGGGCAATTCCCAAACATCGTGTGGTGTTGGGTCCCCGTTTTGAAGAGACAGCGCCCCGCGTCGCGTCCGTCCTCCTTCCTCCTTCTTCGTCTTCCTCCTCCTCCTCATCCTCCTCTTCCTCCTCATCTTCCTCCTCCTCCTCCTCCTCCTCCTCCCCCTCCTCCTCCTCCTCCGCCTCCTCCTCCTCCTCCCGCTCACTCCTCCCTCCTTCCATCCCTGCTTCTGCCCTCCGCCTGTCTCTCTCGGCACGCCAGTCACACGCTTCGTGGCCCCATAGGCAGCTCCACCGAAGGCCCCAGCGGCAGGGTCCGCATGGCGCACCCGCACCCGATTCGGCACAACCCTCACACGCTTCGTGGCCCCATAGGAAGCCCCACCGAAGACCCCAGCGGCAGGGTCCACATGGCGCACCCGCACCCGATTCGGCAAAACTCTAATTTTCGTAGCGCCAGGCAGGCAGGAGCGCAACGCGCAACGGAAACAAGGGCGGGCGAAAGAGCCGGGAAGTGGCTGCGTTCGGGGTTCGGGCCAACCAAACATCCCCCGCGAGCCCGTGCCTGCTGTTCCTTTCCTGTTGACGTCGCAGTCTTTATGGTGGCCCCAATCCGCCATCTCACCTGCCCCGCGATGCTAGCAGCTGAACATGGTTGAGTACTTCGCCAGGCTAATTTCCTTGTTCACAGTCACAGTTCGAGCACCACGGGTTTGAACGGGTTGAACACTCGGCATCTCCCTTCTTTCCCCCCCCCCCCCCGCCCCTCACCGCCCCCCTCCTTCACGATGTGCCTCCTTCCCCCCCCCATTCCTCCCTCCCTCCGACTCTCCCTGCCGTCTCCTCTCCCCTCCCTCGCCCTCTCCATTCCCCAGCTCTCCCCTTGCTCCCTCCCATCCCTCCCCCTTCGTCTGTCATCGGCGTATGTCGTTTGTCGTCCTCGCCGTCGTCGTTCGTCTTCGCCGCCGTCGTCGTCAGAGAACTTTTTTCTCTTCTGCCTGGACATCGTGCCCCTACGTGGGCGAGCGCGAGGCCAACCTAGAATCCTGGAAACCCCTTCCCTCCCACTCCCATCTCCTCCCTGCGCCTCCATCCCCCTTTTCTTCAAAGACGCGCCCCTGATCGGGCTACAACGGAAGAACTTCAGTGGAGACTGAGCAGGTAAACTTTACTGATTTCCATAAGGTAGATTGCAATCATGTGTGAGATCTGAGACCAGAATACTGGAGCGCATCCTGTATAGCAGATTGCTGGCACGGACGTCTACTCCATGCGACCGAATGCTGCAAACTAGGCAGGAAGCATGTTCAGTTACGCGCTGCACCAAGCAAGCGGCTGCCCCCCCAAAACTCAAGAAGCTCCCCCCCCCCCCAAAAAAAAAGCAACGGCTGCCTCTGAGGACGGCATTGTGCGCATAGCAGCTGAGACTGAAGGCACCAAAACAAGAACGGACGAGACGAACAGATGTGTAAGAACTATGACAAACGATACGTATGAAGAGACGCCTGGGCAAGCAAACAATCAGAGTTACGCAGTTGGTAACCTTCGCTCGTGCAGAAAATGGACGCGCGGCGAAATACACACTCGACGACCATCGAACACTCAAGTATCGCACTCTCACTGCGTCGCCAAGCAATGGATCACCCAACGCTGAACGTACGTCCTGATTGGGTCTGATTACTCTAAGGCCTGATGCCACATGCAAAGTGGAACGGCATTGCTCGAAAGACTGGATTCGTATAGCGACTGGGCTTAACTCCCTCTGACTCCCCGTGGCCCCCAGCTCTGCACAGGAGTTCTCTTACTGATGCCCAGGGTGACACCTGCCAGGAGCTTTCTGCCTGGTCCCGAGTTCCTGGGCTCTATACAGGAGTCTCGCTGGGTTCCTCGGCTTTGCACAGGAGCTCTCTGCCTGGTCCTCGGCTCCAAAACCTGCCGACAAGACTCATGAGTCACGAGAGCCCCGAGAGCCCTCTGACCGACAACCGAGGCACGGTGGCGGGATGGGCCGAAAGCCAGTGGATCCGCCGCCCCCTGCTTGCAGGGGTGCACGGCGTGCTGGACGTTTCAGGTTTTGGTTTTGGTTCTTTTTCTAAAAGAACTCCCCAGTGGGCTTCGGCCCGTCCCGCCGGCCACCCGCAAGTTTCCGAAAATCCGTCTGTCAATGCCTTTGTTGCCCCAACTTGGCCCAAGATGGCCTCCAAGACGGCCAAGATGGCCCAAGATGGCCTCCAAGATGCCTCCCAGACGGCCAAGATGGCCTCCAAGACGGGTAAGATGGCTCCAAGATGCCTCCAAGACGGCCCAAGATGCCCTCCAAGACGGCCAAGATGGCCCCAAGATGCCTCCAAGATGGCCCAAGAGGCCTCCAAGACGTTCTCCAGGAGAGCCCGAAGAGGCCAAAATCATTGGTTTTCCTTAGGTTTTTGAAGGTTTTTTGCGTTTTCTTCTTTTCGGCCTTCCGACGGCCCAAGAGGCCCCCAAG